ATTACATACTCACACATAATGTGGTCCCAACCAACTTCTTTCTCAAATAGGTAAATGCTTTGAAAACATGTAATTTAGTTCACATCTCTACGTGTCTGTAGATTTTTCAAATTTTTTTAAATCTCACAAACTTCATGTTTGTCTAACCACAAATGTCCGTCTTTATATGCATTTCATCGGTATCTCCTTCTATTTTTGCCCTTTTCCCGTCTTTCGTGACCTCTCATTGAGTCTCTGCCTCTCTCTCTCCTCTCTTTCTCCATCTTCTGCCCATTACTCACCTTGTTGCTTCCTCCCAGTTTGTTCCCCTTGCTTCTCTAATCATTTGTTCTCTACCTTTTGTCCTCTTTTCCCCTCCTGTTACTCAGTCACTACATCTCTCTCCTTCCTCTCTGCTGTTCACCTTGTTGCCTCCCTTTCTCCTCCCCTCTCCTCTGTTACTCCCCTGCTCACTTGCTTGCTGGCTGGCACTCTCACTCATTGATAGTGGAGGCGATGTGACCGGCATGCCGAGCGGCTGATCATTATTCTGCCAGAGACCAGCGGGAGTCAGCGTGGAGTGTCAATTCACCTCCTTCTCTCTCTCCTCCTCTCTGCTGTATGAATGGTTAGCTCGTGTTGCAAAAGGCCTACACCAAGGGATGATGAAAGCTACACCAGACCACTACTAAGATCGGGAAAAAAGCGCAGATAATGCAGCGTCAGTGTGGGTGATGTCTGACAAATTCTCATTTTTAGGCCTTCGCGGGTTTGTCAGTGTCCTGACTTGGATGAATTGAACTAAAATTTAACCTGGTTGAGTAGGGTGTGATTTTACTGCTGTGTTGATACGGAACCTGAATAGATCCAAAAGGGACAATATCATTTGGCTTCTTTAAAAAAAAAAGGGTTTCAAAGAAGGAAAGAAAAGATTTAGTTGTTTGACGAGAGGTTCCTTTTATTTCCGTGCAGTTATTTAATCTTTTTTCAGTCAAGTTTTTGTCTTAAATTACTCCCTCTATAACAGGAGTTAATATCAACTCTGTAGGTTTACTCTAATATTCTCTCATCAAATGTTAGAAAAAGCTAAATAAAACTTGAAATATCGTAACGGAATTCTTTAAAAGGTCAAAGCTTTAATTTCAAGGTTTCTGTCTTTTTATTTCTGTAATCAAGATGAGATTTATTCCATTTAGCGGAACAGAGAGAAAAGAAGCTAAATATTATATTCAATTAACATTTTGGTTATGAATGTAGAAAAAAATGCCTTAGGTAAACATCTTAGCTATTTTTAAGTATCTATTTTCAACACAGTTTCGCCCACAAGTTACTGTCTTAAAGCAAATTGTTGTAAAGGTAATCAACGGAAACCCGGTCTGTTTCTACGAAATGGGAATTGAAAGTAAAAATTTAGCACCCTTTTACTTATCTTTTTAGAGAGTTTGTGGTTTGATACATTGAGTTAAGGCAATCTCTCTATTTCACTGTAATATAAATATTTATATATATATATATATATATATATATTTGTGTATATATATATTTATACATAAATCCTGAGTGAAAGCCTAATATTATTTTCTCTGAGATGTAGGTTGAGTTTCTGTCTGTGATTTAGCTGTACATTAGATAGATCTTGGCTAACATCAAATAATTGCAGATCTGTCCTAATTTAGTTTCTCCCTGTCTTGCCTCATTGTTAAAAACAAACCATTATTGATCCATCTAAAAAACAATCTTGCTTGATTTGTTTTCAGTCTTCTCATTGTTTTGGTCTGCACGTCAGAACATGGGCCCCGCTTCTCATCCTTCCTCCAGTATGTCATGTCTTAATTCTTTTTCTAGGAGGGGGGGGGGGGGGGGGTGTATTTGCACCCTACTCTATAGAACTGAGCAAGCTGTCTCTTCTTTCTGACAGTAAAAATAATAATAACTTAAATTCTTTGTCTTCCCAATTTCAGTTATTTGTTTTAATTGATTCATAAACATGCTTGGCTTCAATGTGGTTCTGATAGCCTTGCAGCGTAAATGCTTTTTGCTTCTCTTAGTTTAGGCCACAAAAAGAAAAAAAAGAGAAAACATAACTTAATCCTTCCCTGTATTTATTTGATCTTGTTTAATCAGAATAAGCCTGTAAAAAGACTATATCTATATCATTGAGGATTATATATCGGTAAAACAGACTTGAGAGACGATACCTATCAGATTTGACTTTAAGAATGGTGTTGGGAGTGCTATGTAGGGAATGTGGTGCTCCTACACTCAGCTGACCCCAGGGAACCCTCGGTGTAGAAAAGGAGGCACAGAAAACAGCAAAGATAAATGAGGAAAGAACGAGATAATGCAGTGAGACAGATGCAGTGTAAGCAGAAAGGGAGGGGTGAGGGAAGAGGAAAAGGACGAATAAGGAAAGGGTGGTTGGGGGGGAGTTTGAGCAAGGTGAGGTTAACACTCAGAGCAGTTGGACTGCAGTCAGATGCACACCAGAGCACATGTATAAAGCTCAGAGATTACATCGGTTTATTTATAGACCTAATTTTCCCTCTTAATGTGCATGTCGCTTCTCTATCTCACTGCCACATTCATGATTTCAAAAGTGGATGTATGACACTTCATTTAAAGGATATTAATCTTGAGAGCAAACATTCAACTGTTTAGTTTAAGAGGGACATTTTGGTTTTAACATTTCTTGACTGTTTTTCAGGTGTGAAAGTCAAATAAGAAGATTATCTGATTGACCTTGAAGGCAGTCTTTCCAAGTGTCTTTTAAGAGCGCCAAAACCGAAGCAATATTTGGGAAGACTCCTGGTTATTTTGTGGGTTATGGTTCAGTTTATGCACTGGTGAGGGTTCTGTAGGCAAAGGCACATTGCAAAGACCAAGGCAATTTTTTATGTATATGTTGCTGAGTTCATACCAAAGCAAATGTAAAACAACTCATAGCATAGACTCCATCTGGTGCGCACACTCACTCAAGTACACAAACTCAGAAATGCTCAGAAGTTACAGGCAATAAAGTCCACAGTGGGTTCTGAAAAGGCAACTATTCTAGTACTGATAGGGCATATTTTCTTAAACATTTATTGATTGACTAAGTTTTTACCTTGCAAAAGAATATATGAACACTCACGTTCGTTTTGAAGAGTAAAAAAGTAAAAATCAGATATTTGATAATTACTCATCAATTACTCATTTACTCCTCTATATGTCAAACATATATGTCAAACATTAAACAATCTCTTCTAAACCACTTTTCTGATATAAATATATATATATATATACGTATGTATGTGTATACTCCAGATGGAGTCTATGCCGTCAGTTATTTTACAGTACCAGCTACAATGTTTCCCTGAACCACAAGTGTTTGTTGATGTTGTTCTGTTGTTCATATTAGACGTCTGCCATCCAGCCATTTTCAATATCTGCTTTTCCGAGAAGGGTGGCAGGGGGGCCAGAGTCTATTTCAGCTGTCACTGGGCGAGAAGCGGAACACACAGTGGACTGTTCACCTTGAACGACAGGAATGAGACGGAAAACCATGCACACTCACTCCAACAGTCAATTCAGGTTCTCCAATGAACCAAACGTACATCAGCAATGCTGGACCATGCATGCATGGGCAGAACCTTTCCTTAATGACCTTTACTTTAACGTCTGTATAGTTGGAAATGTATTATAGGTTGGGAAAAAATAGTTGCATTTGGATACAGGTTCTAGCCTCCAAGTGCTATTCTCCTTCAGTAAATGAAGTGCTACACCAGCTTTCTCAAAGCGATGCAAACAGAGCTGATACAGATCTGTCAAGGACCCACTCAAAAGGTCAGTTTTTGTAAATTCCTAGAGGTGTCACAGCTCAACAGTGGCTGAATGCAAATAGATTCCAAATGCAAAACACAAAAAAGTGTGAGAGCTGTGAGTATAAGTAGGTTTTTAGCTTTTTTTTTATGGAGGAATATTCAAAGGGCACTGAAATGACTGGACGGAAAAATGAGAAACACTCTAGTAACCAGTGGAGCCGGCCGGATTACCGCAGACCAATGTAGAGAATCTGGCAGCTCCTGCTGATCTTTAGAATGAACCCCCTGATGTCCAACAAACGAGACTTTGGGATGCCCTTCAAGAAGCCTGGAGAGCTATTCAGAATGGGAATAATCAGATAGATTCCCCAAGAGGTTTCAGGCTTTGCTGAAGATATTTGTGTTCATATCATAGCGTTCAAGCCCAAAATACAGGCTGCTTTTCCTTTAATGTTTGCACATTAATAAATCATTGTACCTATTTCATGGCTTAAGATTTTTTTTAACAGAATACTCCTTCAATCTTTTTGCTCCCCAATCTCTCAATGACATTGTGAACATGTCCATCGACATTACACATACAAAACTGAATGTTTCACAGCCTACCTGTTGTATTATTCCAGTTGCTGACATATTTTACAGGATATTTTCCACAATATGTCATATGTGGACTGCCTTACAACTCGGTGAGCAAAAGGAACACCTTGGACATTGTGGTTCATGTTCGAGGCTTAACGTTGAGCTCAATGTCACTCTCGAACGCAACGATAAGGAGTGTTACCCGTAATGCAGCCTTTTTCTGCACGTGTCCTGTGTTGTAGAATTTATACGTGAAATCTGACACTCAGCCACAAATCAAAATCCACCTCCTAACCTTAAATCCCATTCAGTGGGTCGTAAATCCAGCTTTGACTGAAAGAGAAAGCCTGAGAGAGGTGATGCTGTATTGAAGGAGGGAGCTATAGAGGCATGGAGACGCGTTCGGCGGCATTGAGAGGAGAGGGAGAGAGGTAGAAAGGAGGCTGGAGTAGAGGGGAGAGGGAGGGAGGGAGGGAGGGAGAGAGCTGAATGCAGTCCAGCTTCTCTGCGCGGTGGAGAAGCAGCCAGATAGTCCGATACTGAAGGACACAGAGAGAGGAGAGACTTCACACCAGCGCAGCGCAGGGGAACTAAACCGAGACAAAAAGAAGAAAAGCACCCTGTTCTCTGTGTGTGTGTGTGTGTGTGTGTGTGTGTCTCACTTTGGAGTTGGATAAAGCAAACAGGAGCCAGAGGTACAACAGGACGAACAAGCGGGAGGAGGGGGAGGAGGTGCCGGAGGTCCGTGTGTGCGTTTCTCCTCTCGCACCGTCCGCCTGAGGAGCCTTGCAGCTGATGGTGTCATTGCGACAGCACTCAGTGAGGGAACTGTGCGAGCGTGTCAGTGTGTGCGCGTGTGAGTTTTAGATATCAACAGCTGAGGGTCTCGTCCCAGGTGGATTTGGAATAAATCTGGAATCTTTTATCCAGAAGAGTTTCTCGCCGGTGTCTGTTGCACCCTCTTTTCCCCCCCTCTCTCTCCTCTCCTCTTCCTCCTCGGGTGCAGACATCTGTGCCGGGGCTCTGTTTGCTCGGTGGAGGGACTGCTGCCCTGCTCTGCTCTCTTTTACTACCTCCTCCAGCTTCCAGCCGGCTTTTCTAGAGCCGTGCTGGGAGTACGATTGGCGGTCTTGTTTGCTGCCTCCCCCAGAGAAGAAACATATGGGTGAGTGTGTTGATAGTGTGATAACGTGAGATGGAGTGTGTGTTTTTGGGAGGTGGGGGGGGGGGGGCTGAGGGTTTGCGGTGGGGGGGGGGGGGGGGGGTGTCTCTTTTCCATCCCATTTGTCTTTTTTACTATTTTCTCTATACGTCATCTTCTCTCTTTTATTCCATTTTCCACTTTTTCTCTTCATCTAAAACGATTGTGCTAATTTTTTGCTAATTTTCCTCCATCAGTCAACCTCCCTGCTTCTCTTCCAAGCATCTCCAACCAGTGTTTTTCAGACAAATTCGTCAGACATTTCATGCCCCTCATTTCCACTCATTCATCTTTTGAAGCTTTTTAGTGTCTCTCCCACCTATGTTTACCATCTTCTTGCCCTTCCTGTCATTTCCACCATGCTCGCAGACACACTACATACGGCGTCACCTGGAAAACATCAGCAGTCCGGTGTCTGATGCTTAGAGACACTGGGGTTGACACAAAATCGACAGTCAGGGGTTGATCCCCGATAATCCCTGTATCCATCTCTTCATCCATCATTCTTTCTTCTCCTCACCTTCCACGGCACATGCAACCCCTTCCAGTGCTGCCGACATTTCCTCCATACTGTCTCATTTACATCTAAACTACATAATAACATAGAATGCTGTATGAATACGGTGTAAATAAATATGTAAATGTTGAAATATGCGTGGGTAGGAATGTTCACCGGTCGCCAAAACTTGGAAAACATTGACGGATGAAAGAAACAGTCTTGTTTCGGTGCATTGTCCTACTGTATATCCTCTGCACTAAGTTTGATATCTGCCACCTAAGCCCTGCTATGAGGTAAATACTTCCTCATATGGCAGGGAAATGGTTTTTAGAATGCAAGAAACAAACCTAAGGCCCTTACCTGGCTTCCTGACTCTGATCCATCACTGTATGGATGTTGTGAAGCAAGCTTCAACTATTGTGATGCTTATGGTGTACCCCTAAAGGTCTCTCCCAAGGTACACCAAACCATCAGCAGAGGGCCTTAAACAGTGTAATACAATTTATTTATTTTGTTAAAACTGATTAGTAGGGACACCGTTTGGAGACTTTTAGTCAAAAGTCAAACAGTGGGGTAGGCCTCTGTTTAATAGACATGTACAAATTCACTCATACAAAGAAACCGGGGTGGAATTTGACTAATTTACTTGATACATAATTCATTGGATGAAAAGAGTTCACATCCTAAAACATCCCATGTGGTCCAATTTGCAACCAAACTTGATTAATTGTTTGGTTTAGTCGGAAGCAGGGGTTCTGACTCTTAAGAATTCTTTCATCATCTCAAATTTACTTTGATCCTTTCTGATTTGTCATTAGTCTACGATAATTACCTGTATGTTGCAACTTCATTTAATGAAGCACGTGGACCTCTTTTAAAGCTGTACTTTGTGAAGCAACTTAATGGTTGAATATTGAAATAAACTCAAATCATTCCTACAAATGTTATCCAACTCATTGGTTTGTTTTTTATATTTAGTTAGAGAAAGGATTGCTTAGCTTACTGCCAAAATCTATACCAATAAAAATGTTCTGCCTTGGAGAAAGCTACATTTCTGTGTCACAATGCCTGTCTTTCTCTTTTATGTGCACGGTACATGACTGATGTTGCTCATTTCTGTCAATCATTGCATTTGGGTCTGTGAGCGGTGTTTAAAGGGGCTGGTAGGCCTTCCCTATACTCCGCTGTGATAATGTTTTTCTTTGTTATCAACTGCTGCTAAGAGCACTATTCAAGAATTTGCCTCCTGGTTGACATGTTGAAAGTAAACTGCTTTGCCAAATGGGATAATTCACTGCTCAGAAAGCAGGCATTTACAGGCAGAAAACCACAAGGGTTGCAAACCACTCGAATCACGTCCGGAAAACTGCTCTGGAAAATATACTCATTAACTCAATTTGTATTTCAGCTCAGCTGAATGATGGATTTATTTACTTGAGAACACACTACTGTCTGTCAGCCGGGGCTTAAAACCACCTTTGGTCTGTCATATGATGGATTTTAAAGCATAATTGTAACAGAGGCGCAGAGTTCAATGTTTCTGTTTTTAAGTGTTAGGAAGCAGCATGTTATCACGAGAATCAGAACAAGCATTAACATGGTGGGTGGAGAGGCAACCAGACAGTGGCTGGGATGAAGCCTCTAGGTTTAATGTATGCATTCTTTATCTCCGTGTGTCACCCTGCTGTTGTCACAGCAGGTCACTGTTGATGCCGTCGTCTGTTGTTCTGCACGAGAAGCAGCAGGTGCACGTGTGCCTTCAATTTCAACCTTTACAGGAAATAGTGTACGCTTTTTTTTTTTTGTTTCCTTTTTGTGTCCGCTAATGCATTGTAAGGAGCTTGTATGCGTTGCTTTATGTATTTATGCGTATGTATTCAGTTCTTGACTGCAGGCGAGGCAGAGAGGAAAATTTTCTGTCTGTTTCATACCTCTCCAGCGGGAATTCGCTGCAGCCTACACACACTCACAATAATACACACACACACACATCTGCGGCACCTTTTCACACTCAAATGCCCCCACGACTCAAACAACATGAGTCTCTAACACAAAAACAGCAGCTCCGTGTTTATCTCCCTCTGCAGGAATTGAGCTTATGTGCCCTTAAACGATGATCAATTTTTTTCCCCCCCATTTACTTCGACGAAGTGGAATGATTAAACTCATCAATTTCCCTCTTAGTCATTCAACTGTTATTCAGAAAAAATAATGATTGAATGAAGTTCAAGCAGCTGAAGTTGCTCCAAATAGTTCTGCTTTGCATTGATTACGAAATCTGCCCCTTTGAATCAATTTCCCTTTAAATAATGCTCACTTTTGGAAAAGCTACCTTTACAAATACTGAGCATCCATTTTAATGCTTGTAAGTTTATTGTAATATACATAACCACAACATAAGCACAATAAAAATAGAACTGTTTGTCGTGTAGATTAATTGTGCTGTAAAGTATCCCTGCAAAAGAATTAAAATTTCCCTCCCTTAGTGTGAATTACAACCTGAACTCATCCATTCAACGTTGGTTGTAATGAAAAAGAAGCTTGTTCAAGTGTGTCACTATTATACCAGTATATCTACACAAATGTATGTTGTAGTAATTTGCTTAATCTTAAATGCTTGTACCAGCTTATGAATGTGTATTATTAACACTTATTGGAAAGCGCTGCATAATATGACAGTCAAAACATTTTTTCTCCATCTCTTTATTCTTTTTAATTTAGCGTGACCCCCCCCCACCCTCCCCAAACGTTATGTGTGCAATTTCAAACAGTGTTGACAGATGTTATTCTACATAGCGTTTAAATTAAGAATTTATGTCATGTTATCACTCCCATATTTTGTAGACTAGCACTTTTAAAATAACTTATACAGTCCCATAAAATTCTGACAGATGTTTATTGATGGCACTTTAAAAAAGTTACAATACATTTGAGGTTTGACTCAGTAGCTTAGGCAGTTGGGCAAGGAATATGTTTTTATAACTGCATAGAAATAACTTTCGCGTAGCTTGGTCTGTTGAGCTGAGGGCAACTTTCCAGATTTGGTTCCCTTGATGAAAATACCTGGTTATCTGTTAAAGAAATATTATAGAGACTGGTGACAGCAGACCTTTGAGACAAACCACTGAAGCCCTTTGATACAGGTTTGAACTGCATTTTCTTGCAAGTCCTAGTGTCACATTCACCTCTAACACTGTTTTTGGGATGCTCTTTCAGGAACAGTTGTCTGTGAAGTTGTCGGTTTAAGTTGACTCCATCCATCCATCCATCCATCCATCCATCCATCCATCCATCCATCCATCCATCCATCCATACTCAAACATCTCTCTACAACGCTCTCCAGCTCCTCCTTGGAAATTCCAAGGTATTTCCTGGCTAGGAAGGATATAGCAAGTTCCAAAATGAGGGAACAAGGAGGTGTCTTTTCCAGAAGCAGGAAGCAGCGGCTCGACCTCCTCAACCTAACTGTAAAGCTGATCTCAGTCCCTCTGAAAGAAACTCCTTTCAGCTGATGTACCCTTGACCTGATTCTTCAGGTCTCCTCATATTCTATATGTTATAACACAGATGGATATATTCCGCCTCAGTTCTCTTTTTATCACAATGGGCGAGAGCTGCGTCGTCATTACTTCAGATGAAGCGCCTCTCTATCTGTCACTCTCTCACTTCATCACCCGTGAGCAAGACACCAAGATACTTCAGCTCCCCACCTGAGACTGGCAACCAACCCCAACCCAGAGAGTTCATTCCACCTTCTGTCTGATTGCAAATCATGGCCTCAGGTTTGGAGGAGCTGACTTTCATCCCAGCTGCTCCACACTCAGCTGTGGATTTCCTAAAATGTGCACGGATGTGCTGAGGATTCCAACAGAATCCATGTCATCGGCAAAATGCAGAGATGTTATCCAGAGGCTTCCAAACCAGACATTCTGGGGGGCTGGAGGCTAACCCAGCTGTCCTGAGGCAAGAGGCGGGTTAGAGCCTGAACAGGTCACCAGTCCATCACATGCAACAGGCTGTCTGTGAAAGTCCCAAATGGTCCCAAATAATACTGTAAAGCCCACCCTATCTGATGCATTCTTATTCAATAATGAATAAGCATTCGTCATTTAAACCTTCAGTTTAAATTAATTAAAATTTGAAGTTTTGTGGAAGTTAAAAGAAAGCGAGACACGAAACAAAGAACGATTTGATTTAAATGTCATTGAGGTGAAGTTGCTCACAATGTAATTCCAGCACAAGAATTCACCCTGAAAACTGTTAAATGGCCTTTGATGTAAGATGAAAAGTAAAAAACTGGGTCACAGGCATTCGATTTCCAAAAGATCATCTCTAGATTATTTCAGACACTCCTTTCTAACAAACTTTTGGCCCTTGAGGGACTGATCTGCCTTTTATTCCTTGGCAGAAGCAACATTAATACTATTGTTACACAGTTCTTCAAATACATATCTGACTTTCTTTAACATAATAATTTATACATAGAAATATATTGACAAAAAATCTATTAACAGGGTGTCTCAATTTTCATTCACAGAAATCAGGTATTTTTTAATAACTAAAGATAATTTGATCTGACAGTTGCAAATACTGTAGTTTTTCCATTTTGACAAAACATCTGCCAAGACAAAGGGTATCTTTAGGAAGACACTAAATGGAACATAAAGAGACAAAGAACAGTGCTAAAACAAGTTGCTATGGCAAAAAACACAGCTACTGCAAAGTCAGAAGTATTCATTTAATTTCTATCCAAGGCATCTTGCGGTGAACTGGGACACAAATGCACGGAGGGAGAAACAGACACCAAGAGACAAAGCTTTAGAGTCAAACAGAATTATCGCATGTGTGTCCTTGAGTCAAAGGAGGCTTTCGTCTCCAAACAAAGTAATGGGAAGTGAAGTGACAAAACCGCTGAACAAAAACTATGTTAAAAGGAACTTAACAGCATGTTGTTGACTGACGGAATTTTCCAAAGACTGCGTCTGACCTTCTCTGTGTCTGGGCTGCGTGTCAGCAGCGTTTCCTGCTTCTCTTTTGTCTTTGTTTGACTCTCAGTTTATTAACCTACACAATGCCAACCTCCATACATCACACCTCACCCCTCAGTCCGTCCTCTGGTCCTCTTGCACGGGGAGGAACATTCATCATGTCTTACACGCCAGATGACATCAGTTAGAGACTCGATCACCGCTGTTTGAAAAGCCATTCGCTGGACGGATAGGGCTGCTATCTGCGGGCGAGAGCAAGCCGTGACAGTTTATGTCCAGCGGAGGGAGAGACGTCAGGCCTTGCACTTTTATGTTGTAATTAAAGCATGTGTGGGCAGCCCTTTTTTTTTACAAAGTGGATGTGGGAGAGATGATTGTTGAAGCGGCACAAGATAAAAAGCCAGGTTTTAATTGGTGACTATTTCCTCTTGTTCTAAGTGGACGGATGTAATGGAAATATAGAAGGACAAAATGTACAAGAAAACCATCATTAAAAAAAGGTCTGATTTAATGAGATTAAACGATGATAATTATAGAGGTTTCAATAAGAAATATTCAGGTCATGTTTGAAGAGAGAGGTGCAATATTATTATTTCCAAGTAATAAAAATATTTGAGCAACCTTTAAAGCACAATTTCCAATCAGCTTCAGATATTAACAGACACCATTTATCATCAGAGGAGGCAAGATAGTTTATGAATTTAGAGATCACATTTCCTTCTTTGACTATGACAGCAAAACACTGAAAACAACCATGCAATCAATTCCAACAATCCAAACAATTCAGTCAGGTTCCAAACAAGACCACCGACCAGAGAACTTGCAAAAGATAAAACCGTTAAGGAAAAAAAGCAGTTGGCACGGAAACTAATTCTTTGATGTGTATGTGTGCTTTATAGAAAAATAACGTCTCCTTGTGGAGTAGACTGTTCCCAAACCAATCAGACAGTTCGGGGATATCATTTGGTCTGGAGGGAAGGACACACATGGCTCATATCTCACATCATTACAGCTAAAGCAGCGGGACAAAGCAACGCAATTCACAATAGACACAGCAGGGGGTCACTCTATGAATTCTAACACTCTGCTTACAAAAAACTTCACCAGTATCTTTATTTAAAAGGTTTCAATATTATGGCATTCTTTGTGGTAAACAGTAGTGGATCCAAAAAATCGGTTATGTTCTGTCTGGTTATAATTGAACAAATGAACAAATAAACTTTACTTAGATCATAAATACTATTTTTTAATTGAATGAAAACTCTGGTTAGAAGTGAAAAACAACCATAAATGACAAAGTCTATCTGAATAGGTTTGTGTAAAGCTGCTGGTGTAGAGCTTACTCACACGTCTCAGATGGAGGTAGATCAGCCCTAAATCACAGTACACTTATTCACACATCAAGCCGGCGCCATGACATCAACTGACTGCTGCAGCACGGCGGGTTAGAGCTGCGTGTCCTACGATACCTGCTCGCCTTTACCGAGCCCCGTGTATCAACACTGAATCAACTTCCACCCCCACTCTCAGCCCCTGTTCTTTAACGCATAACATGATGCACAATTATGGAGCAGGCAGTCTCGGCTCGGAAGTAATTTCCCTTGTTAAAAGGTGGAGGGCCTCATACACAGGACACAACAGTGTTGAGTTTGGAGAAGCACAAGCTAAAAGTGTTTCCTCATTTAAAACCATCAAAACCACAGAAACAGTCAGAGAAAACAGCCCTATAGCAACATGCTCCACAGTGATTTGTTCAATTGTGTTGGAGAGAATCTAACTGACTGCATTTCTTTATTGATTATCTCCAAATAATTTTGAAACTGTGCCATCCATCAGCTAGATGTTGCTGATCGTGTCCTGCAAAAGGAACAAGTCATGACCATTCAGATTTATCTTGGGTGATCGATGAGGACCTATTTGAACGCACCAAGAGTTATTTTCATGGAGTTTGCAAGTATTTAAAATGAGCACTGCTGACCCATACACAAAAGTCCCGTTGTCTTGACCTTGCCCTCTTGGGCCGTTGGAACATTTCAGCTGTATCTGGGAGACAGGGTGGGGATATCACAGCCTCCCATTAGTCACACGTTGGTGAGACAAATTGCACACTCACCCAAGTTCTCGCCTGATATGTATACTTCCACCACAAGAAATATCCCCTCCATAAATGTCCAAGTCATTACAACTCCCAACACCTCTAATGAATGTTGTCTCCCTCCTCCTAGGAGGAATAAACCCCCTCTTTCCGTTTACAGAACACATCCATGGGCATGTGCCCTGAACATTTATGATTAAATGATTAGATCCCACAGCAGTGGCTTTTTCTAATGAATTGTTTTATTGAGAGATAAGTGACATTCCCTGGAGTGGTTAATAACATCAACTGACCAACTCTGAGACAAAGGGCATTTACTCAATAAAAGACACAGCAATCAAGAATCATAACACGCGTCTTCACATTATGCTGGATGTGTTTGCAAATGAACACGTGGCCCTATGTGAAAATTAACAAGTGTTTACATATTCAAACAAGGACAGCTGGTATATCCATCCAGTTTAGGACTGGTATCCAAAGTAGAAAGAGACAAACAATTTTTGCCATCTTCAACTAGATCTTAGTCAATCTGAGTTTTTAAAAAGTCATTTCTGGACAACAAAAAAACATGAGAATTTCAGTCCAGGTATAAGTCATTACCAGGCTAATTTGATTAGTTAGGCGGGGGGTTTTCTGGGTCCACATGCTCGTTTTACTGCTCGTGACAGAGTAAAACGGTAATTTCTCAAATGATTATGGTTTTAAAGTCTTGTTTTAATGATTACATTCAGAGATAATGTTAAGACCTATCAGACGTAATTTTGTTCTTTATGATTTTGAGAATTTTGCTCCCTTTTTATCTGTTTGTGTTTTTGGATTCAGTGTTTAAAGCAAGCTCAATTTAATCTGTTTGAGCAGTCACTACGAAACATAAACCTCTTCATAAACCCGCTTTAAGGCTCAGTAACATTTATTATACTGAAAACATTCCAGTCACATGTTTAATGGTTCATACGTAAGAGGCCTCTTAAGCCTAAAAGTTGTCTGTTGAATGTCTCCATGGAAATGCATCAACACAAGGTTTTGTTTTTAATATTCAAATTGGCACTCCTGCGTATTCTTTCTGATGGGGTCTTTAAAAGGTCTGTAATTGCTGTAAATTTCACTTCCAGGTGTGTGCAGATAAAAGAGCCTTTGATTTCCTATTCAGAGGATGTTTGCCTTCACTTGTGATTTGAACTCTGAGAAACAAATTCTTCCAATCTGACGGTACACTTATTCTGAAATGGGCTGAAAAGCTTAACTATGTTAGGAAACATTCTGTGCTCTTGGTGGTCATGTTTTCAGCGAGGCTTCTCTGATACTTGAGATGTTGAGATTTTGAGAAAAGACTACAGGAAGAAGGGGGGAAAAAAGCTGTGTTTATATGTCAGGGGCTTTAATGATCTCTACTCCTAGATCCATATTCATCCAAGGCTTTGACAAGTTGGTTGCCCTCTGGTTCCAAAGGGGTTGAAAAGAAAAGTGGAACTATGTGTTTTGGGAAGAAGCTGAACTCATCAGCTACAGGGAGGATGAGTGCAGACAGTGTGAAACCTTATTTAACAATGATTCATTGTTTATATAATCACGCACAAGAGAAAAATTAGGTGCTTCATAAAAAGACTTGTTTTTTTTTTTGGCTGGAATAATCATCCACTCTTTTGCAGATGAATAATGGCACTCTGGAGAAGATGAACATTTACACTTTTACAGTTTTTAACAAAAATTGAAGCCCTTTTTACAATTAGTCCATATGTATATATGTAAAAGTCTTCTTGCCATTCCTTGTCTTTTCACATAACTTCTTTAAGGAAACAGCTTAAATTTGCATTTCGTAACAATGTAAGCTTCTCAAACTATTTTTCATTCTTGTCATTGCAGAAGTCATCAGATCCTGCTGAGCCTGCTGTTGACTGCACAGTCTTGAGTTTTCACGCCCATCAGACGCCTGCTCATCATCGGCGGATCTTCTTCAGCAGAGCCATGTTGGCTCCATTTGTTTAGAGGCTAAACTGCCCCCAGCTGCTGCACCGAAGAACAAAGCTGAACAGGAAAAGGATTCTTAGCGTCGGATGAACTTGGTCTTCGGTGGATTCCCTTTTTCCTGGACCCTCTGTGAATACAGTGATGCAAAAAACTACAACTGACCCTGAGCCTTGACACCGTGGATGTAAAACAACTTGAAGGGGGAGAAAAGTGAAGGAGTTGGACAAAAAAGACGGGGGGACAATCTTTAAAAAAAATGACTCCCCCTTAAAATGTTTACTCACAGGAGGTAAAATGTGGCTGATCCTACCATGTAGCCACAATGACCTGAAGAAACCTCAAAGAAACTTTGCAACCAAATGCTTTGTCATCTTTAAGACGCTGAGAGATGTTGCTGGAAGAAATGCAGACTGAATCACAACAGGCTATTCATGAGCTGAGTGAGGAGTTATAAAGTGCCACCAGGTTATTATCGGCCCCTGCGCTTCCTATTTTCCTCTTTAATCTTTGTATTCTGAGTAATCATCTTTTTAATTAATGGCGACGGCAGCGTGAAATCTCCCCCTCCACCCACTTCCCCGCTCTCCTTTTCTGCTGCCACCACAGACACCTGAAACCAATTAACAACAGAAGATCTAGATGGGGATTAGACATGGGAAGAGCAGGAGTGATTAGATGCAAACATAAAGAGAGAAAAGGAGACTGAGGACCAAACGAGAGCAAGAGGAAAGAGGGGTTAAACCTGAACGCGTCTATCATTTTGAGTGATTGATACGAGGGCGGAGCGAGGGCTGGTTCGGTGGAGGGGGATATGGCCAGATTAGGGCAGCGGCACACAAAGATAATAAGCAGCTGTGAGTCAGCAGGTGAAATTGGCTGTGGGAGCCCAGAATCTTGACTGACAGGTCCTCAAACTGTCCAAGACTCATTGTCATTCCCTGTGCCGTGCAGGGGTTGGGAAGCATAGAGAGAACGGGAGGAGAGACTCCTGGCCAGTTGCCACAATCACAGCCAATTAGGAGAATTTGATTATATGCCTTAATCTTGGCAGTCGGGTGGAAAAGCAGGCAGACAGAGAAAGAGGAACCTGAACAGGTGCCACTGATACACACCATTATCTCAGTCCATCTCTAATTGAGTTGGTTTCTGCGCCCATTGTGCGCTCTCTTCTTCACGTATACAAACAGGATCAGTTCTTTTTTCAAGGGTTTAAAGTTCTGGAGGTTCCTCAAGAGACAACTTGGAAGAGAAGGGGAACAACAACCAACTCAAACATTCGGCCTTTCCTTTGGAGATTTGCTTAGACTGGAAGACTTTTGTCATTCTCCCTCTGAAGTCTTTAAACCTCAATTTTTTTTTTTATTCCTCCCTCAATATTTTTTGTCCCAGTCTGGACGTGTCCTGTCTCGAAGCCTCTCCGCAGCCTCAACAATCTCCAAGTCGAGCCTGAGATAAAGCAAAAGAAGAGATAGACTGGGGAAAGGCAGCAAAGTATTGAAATTGTGGAGAACAGGGCAGAGACTTTATTTCCTCCATCTGTTTCAGAAACCCAGACGCTCCCCCCCTATCTGTCCCCAAAGCTTTACCTCCTTTTTAAATTTTCTCCTCTCACCGGGAGCTTTTTCCCAGCTCGCCTCCTTGTGGATCATAAGTGCCATCCTGGACCTCACCAAGATTAAAGTGGCCTCCGTTATCTGAGGAAATCCTTTGATATCGGCCCCTGGTGTTGTCATCCTAATTCTGTGAGTACTTCAGTTTCCTTGTTTTTTTCTGCCTTTTCAGCCTTCTTCTTTTTCTTCAGCAGCACACTCCTCCTGAGTTTTTCTGCAGTCGTTGAAGATTGATAGCCTAACATTGCAATACAGGATAATTAGTTTTGTTGAGTCTGACTGTAGTCTCAGGCCTTGGATTGTGCTCGTCTTTGAATCAGCTCTTTTCTTTTTCTTCCTTCCTCAGCAATTATTTTCGGCAGCTCCAGATTTTGCATATTGAACCTATATTTCATGCCTTATAGCTGCTGGTGCAGATATTACAGAAATGTTGATTTGACTTTCTATTTTCCTGCATGGAAATGTAAATATATTGGCTGTTCTATTTGAATTTTAGACGGAAACTTCTTCTACACATTATTAAATTGAATAAATGTAAGAGAGGAAATCTGCAGAGGCAGTGAAAGACATTTTGATTACAATACACAAGAAATTTCTAATTTCTAACATTTCATTTTTAGATTCTCTGTTGCTGTGCTTTTTAAATGTAAAACGGCTGTAAACCCCCACCCCTTTAAATGGGATACATGTATTCCATAAAGGCTGAACACCCAGGTAACATATCTATAGGACACCAGCATAAATCAAAGCGCTGTGTTGGTTCGACTTTCAAAATGTTAAAAACATGTTTGAATCATACAGTGAAACCTCTCAAAACCATATCGCAGTGCGAGGTGTTCGTGCAGCAGATGCAGAGCTGCTCTCATCCACAAATCCCCAATGAACGAGTTGTGAATCATCTCCAACATCAAAAATATTCAAATGAACTGGCCTCAACTAGGAATCTGCTAAAAGTAACATCTCAAAACGTGCGCTGCGCGTAACAGGATAGAGCTGGTACCCCCGGTACGTTATTAGCACCCGAAGAACGCTCTATGGAGCTAACTGCAATGACTTTAACTGACTCATCCGCTAATTTAGTCTGTGAGTGTGTGCACTTTCACTGCTTAGCTCGCGTCTGTCGTTCACATGAAGCTCAAAATCCCTAAATTACTTCAGGGCATGATCACTTCAAGTTGCCCCATCTATAGGCTTCAGTCTGTCCCCGTCCTTTGTGGTGGCAGACGTCGTGTGAAAGAGAAAATAACACTTTGCCAGCAGCAGCATTAACCCTTATCATGGCCCTGCACAGTCCAAAGCCGGGTAGTGTGTCTTTTCTGAATGACATGTCAATCCCACGGTGTCCCTCAGACTGTCTTCCAGTTGGAAAGATTTCTCTCCACAGTGACACAGAAGGGGAGTGATTGCAGCTCTAAACCAATCTCTTTGACTTTTTGAAATACTTCATAATTGGACATTGTCATGAATCATCTTGCAGACAAAATCAAAGTTTTACCATCGAGCCTGTGATTGATTTTGGTCCTCCCGGGTAGCTCATCATTTAAGTGCATCTGTATGAAAATCAAATTGCGGAGTGATAATCCATCTTAGTGAATAGTAGCACATCATCGACCACATGCTGTAATTTGACTGCAGGCTGGTTGGGGAATGGGAGTTGTTCTCAAAACTGAAAGAAACCTTCATGTTCTTAATTCAGTGTAAATGATGTTATTCTTTAACCGTGTTAAATTCTTACTTTGAGAACAACAGTGCTTTTTGTTGGGAAAAATGGTGCTTTTCTCTTTTTCTTCTGACAACAAGTAAGACTTTTTACGTCAGTAAGTGTTGTTGTTTCTGAGAGGCTTTATTAAGAACTTTGTTAAGAGGGATTTGTTTGTGGTGCCAAAGCACAACTTTTGCGGATTGAGTCGAACAGCCCCCATGATATTTCTGCATCGTTCCGTCAGCTGAGACAGATGGCGCTTTCTTTTAATTGGAATTCAGAACTCAACCCTCCATAAGTTTACTTTTGTTTGTTCTGATATTTCTTAATTGCGTCAAATTCTGCTGCTTGGAGTAGGCAGACAAGCGAAAACGAGCACATCTTCCATTTTCTTGGTTGCTATGGTGACGGTTTCTGCTGATGGTTGGTTGCCTGGACTAAAAAAAAGAAAACAAAGAAAAACAGCAATGATAGCACAAGCACCTCTCTGAAAAGTTCAGAGATTTTCAACTATGTACACTCAAAGCAACCCCATACACACACACACACACACACACACACACACACACACACACACACACACACACACACACATAAAAACGCTCTGACAAATGACGCCGACTGCTGTGCTCTTCATCAGTCGCTTCTCTCTGCTCATTGGGGGGAAGAAACAGGACCATTCTATGGACACCACTTCTGACGGCTCATTTTGACAAACGGTGTTGTTTTAAAGTCGCGCTCGGCCACTCCCTCTCACGCTCTGCTCCGAGGTGACTGCACCCCAGTGCAAAACAACCGTAGTCAGGTTTAAAGTTCTGAACATTTTAAATGGAAGACTCTGATGTTGGGGCCTTTCATGGACAGGTGAAATTAAGAATTGGTGTGTCAGTCTTGTTTTTGGATGTTTTAACTGCTTTTTGTACACAGTGCGACAGAAGGTTAGCTCAGGTATGGAATTCAATGAACCACTAAATTTGAGATTTGGCTTTGTGCAAGGAAAATGTGTTTTTTAATTTATTCAGCTGGAAGAATGCTTTGAATCGGTTTGCTTTGTCAGTTGGTCAACTTTTTCTGAGTCTCAAACAAGATGATTTCTGTACTGCTTTGGTAACATAACTCTTTAAATTCCCCCATGAGCCTAGAGTGTGAGGGGATGCTAATATAATCATTAGTTTGAATTAGCGTCAGTCAAATCAGAACACCGACTCGTATCTGTTAGTTGGTGTCTTGTGTGAACTTCTTGAAAATGTAATCATGTCTGATCTGAATCTGCTTAAAGGTTGTTTTTTTTTAACTGAAACTTTTACTTGGCATCAATCAGCTTTGCATCTGCTCTTACATGTGGCAAATTGTGCAAACTGTGCAACAAGCTCTTCTGCCTATCAAAACAAAAACACTTGTAGGTGAATTATTTTTTCTTTTCCCCAAGAGACATAAATCTTCTCACTGTTTTTTATATTTATTTCTTGTCTTCCATCACCCTCCTATTTTTTTTCCCTCGTCCCACATTTCCTACCAATAAATTATGCTGCTGTCTCTCAATTCAAAATTTCCACTAAATTCTCCCCCTTTTTCTTTGCGTCTGCCTCCTTCCTCTTCTTATTCCTCCCCTCAGCATGTGTGCATCATCGTGGTTGTTTGGTCAGGCACCACACGCCCTGCATTTACTCTTTCACTTCTATATGTGTGATAAGAGTACAAGCCTCAGAAGTAATGTTCTTACGTGGGAGGATAAAA